ATTAAATATATCATATTAAGCATCTCTTTCAAAATTAGCTAATTATATAATTTTCAATGAACATGTCTAAATGGTTGATCCTAGATAATGGGATGATTAACTTTTAGGTATTTTGAAACATATAGGTTTGGATGATCATAAGTCTACAATAATATTTAATGATTCTTAATTTTAAACAGAATCTATGTTAGAAGATGTCTGTAACATTATGAGTCATGGAGAAATACCACATTTATTCCCTCCAGAAGAAAGAATTAAAATATAAGAAGAAATGACATATCCGAAATTTGTTTTAAATTGTAAATTAAATACCCATGTTATTTTATGTATGTAACCTGTTGGAACTCAGTTTAGAAAAAGATTAAGAATGTTCCCAACTATAATCAATTGTTCTACTATTGATTGGTTTATGAGTTGGCCTGATGAAGCATTAGAATCAACTGCTAGTTAATTCCTACATTAAAATTTAGTTAAAATAGCAGTGGATATTCATCATAAAGTCTTAGAAATCAAAGAAAAATTTACTCAAGAACTTAGAAGGCATTTTTATGTCACACCAACATAATACTTGTAATTATTAGCAACTTTTAAAAAAATTCACACTGAAAAAAATGAAAATTCGAGAATATCTATTGATAAATTTGAAACTGGAGTTGAGAAAATTATTTAAACAGAAAAAGAAGTTGATAAAATTAGAAAGGTTTTATTTGAATTACAACCAAAATTAGAAAAAGCAACAGTTGAAAATCTTGAATTACTAAAGAATATATAAAAGAAATAACAAGAAGCAGACTAAACTAGATTGATTTGTGAATCTGATGAATAATAGTGTAGTTTAAAAAGAGAAGAAGCTAATTAATTAAAGGATATATGTTAAAAGTAATTAGATAATGTACTTCCTCTTTTATCAAAGGCAACAGAGGCACTTGAAAAAATAACAAAAGATGATATGATATTATTAAAATCATTCTAAAAACCTCCTCCTTCTGCTGCTGTAGTAATGTAAGGATTATGTTATGCTTTTTAAGAAGATGAGAAAGTTAAAGGAAAAAATAATGGTAAAGAACCTCCTTAAATGGAAGATTTTTGGGAATATTCTAAAAAATATGTTTTGAATGATAAATTAATAAAAAGAATAAAAAAAATGAAAATAGAAGAGATTAGGGCAATACATCCTTCTAAAATTCAAAAATTATCTGTATTTGTTTAAAACCCTTTATTTGAAAGAGAGAAAGTATTTAATGCTTCAATGGCAGCAGGAAATTTAGCTGATTGGGTTAGAGCAGTTTATTCTACTTATGAAGCTGTTGAAATTATTGAACCAAAGAAAGCTTAATTGGTTGAAGCTGAAAAAAATTTAAAGTTAGCTGAAGTATAAGTTGAAATAAAAAGATAAGCATTATCAGAAGCTATGCTTGTATTGAATGTTTTATCTGTAGAATATTAAAAAGCTAGAAAAGAAAAAGAAGAAATTGAAAAGAAGGTTTCATAAATTTAAGCATAATTAAATAGAGCTGAAAAATTAACAAATGGATTAGGAGAAGAAAAATAAAGATGGAAAAAGAAAGTTATTGCTTATAAATCAGAATAATCAAATGCAGATGGTGATTGTTTAATTAGTGCTGCAATTATATCTTACTTAGGTGTTTTTCCAATTTAATATAGAGAATAATGTCTATAATTTTGGAAATTAAAACTTAAATAAAATTAAGTTAATTTTTCTGAAGATTATTCATTATAAGCTTAATTATGTGATCCAATCTAAATAAATAGATGGATATAATAAAAATTACCAAATGATTCCTTTTCTATTGATAATGCTATCATATTAAAATAATCAACGAGATGGCCTCTTATGATTGATCCTTAATTATAAGCTAATGAATGGATTAAAAATATGGAAGATATTAAAGTATTATTAATTCTTAATTCAACTTAACTTCCATAATAAGTTTAATTATAATTAGAACATGCTATTTAAATTGGATATCCTGTATTATTAGAAAATCTAGGATAAAGTATTGATCCACTTTATGAACCTATTTTATAATAAAAAATTATTAGAAAATAAAATAAATGTTCAATTAAATTTGGAGAAAAATTAATTGAATATTCAAATGATTTTAGATTTTATATGACAACTAAACTTAATAATCCTCACTTTCAACCTTAAGTATGTGTGATGGTAAATATGTTAATGTTTTAAGTTACATAAGAGGGATTAGTTGATTAACTATTGAATATTGTTGTTAAGATAGATGAGCCTTAAAAAGAAGAATAAAGGGTTAAAAATATTTAATCAAATTTTATAAATAAAAATAAACTTATTTAAACTGAAACTTTAATTTTAAAATTACTTTCTGAATCAACAGGTGAATTATTAGAAAATGAAGATCTTATATAAACACTTTAAAAATCAAAAGATGAGAGTCTTTCTATTGAAGAAAAATTAAAAGGATTAGAATATGATAGAGTAAATTTTAATCAAATACGATAATTTTATAAACCTGCTGCCGAAAAAGTGGCTAGTTTATATTTTATTTTAAACGATTTGGCAGTAATAGAACATACATATTTGTGGTCACTTGATTTTTATTTCTCTCTATATACAAAGTCAATAAGAGAAGCATAATATGAGAAATCAAAGCGTAATTAAAATATAATTGAAAAGTTCATTTTAACACTTTATACACAAATTAATAGATCATTATTAGAAAAGGATAAATTAATTTTCAGATTTTTATTATGTGTAAAAATGATGAATGTACCTACAGATCTTATTAGAGCTACTGTTATGGGTTGTACTCTAACATCAACTGATATTTAAATGCCAAAAGGATTTCCTTGGTTAACTAGTAAAATGTGGTTGGAACTTGTAGATTTAACCATTCAATTTCCATAAATATTTGAAAGTGTTTGCTCTGAATTTGTTGAATAAAAACATTTTTGGGATAATTTTTATGCAAGTCAAAATTGTTATAAAATGTAGTATAAAGAATTAGATTAATATTAAATAAATATGCTCATAAAGATTATAAAACCTGAATATTTTATTTAAGCTACAAATGAAATGATAAGAAAATAAATTGGTAATGCTTTTTTGGAAAACATTCCAACAACCTTTGAGTAATTTTATTTAAAATCAGATTGTAAAATTCCTTTATTATGTTTAATTACACCAGGAGCAGATCCAAGATAAGAAATTATTAAATTAGCATCTAAGTATGAATTTGAAGATAAATTTAATTAAATTTCTTTAGGATAAGGGTAAAGTTAATTGGCAATAAAGATGATACTTAGTGCCATGTCTTAAGGTTCTTGGGTTTTACTTCAGAATTGTCATTTGGCATCTTCTTTTATGCCAGAATTAGAATAATTATTTGAGACACAATATAAGAAAGAAATAAATGCTGATTTTAGATTGTGGTTAACTTCTTAACCTACTTCAATATTACCTCATAATGTTATATTAAAATGTATATATATAATAAAATAATTTTAGCTTTAAAAATCACATATGAATTACCAAGAGGATTGAAAAATAATATGTTAAGATCATATTAAACTTTGGATGCTGATAAATTTGAATAATGTAAGAAATTGAGAGAATGGAAGAATTTATTTTTTTCACTTTCGTTATTGCATGCTTGTTTATTAGAAAGAAAGAAATATGGTCCATTAGGATGGAATATAGGATATAATTTTTCATAACATGATTTAGAAATTTCAAAAGAACAAATTCTATTTTTTTTAGATTAATATTCTGAAATTCCTTGGGATGCTTTACATTATTTAATAGCAGAAAATAATTATGGAGGTAGAGTGACAGATCCAATGGATAGAAAACTATTAAAAATATATGTAGAAGACTTAGTGAATTAAAAGACAATATCTTAAGATTATATATTCTATGATATATATTAAATACCACCTTAGATGAATTTAAAAGGTTATATTGATTATATATCTTAATTACCATTAAATGATCCTCCTTAATTATTTGGTTTACATGCTAATGCAGAAATATATTCAGCAATATTAGAGACTGAAAATTTAAGTTCAGTGATTTTATAATTATTACCTAGAACTTAAGGAGATTCAGCATAGAAATATACAGATAGTTTAGTATGTAAAAAGAGCTAAGAAATTTTAAAAAACTTACCTCAACAATTTAATATTGAGCAAATCTAATAATTATTCCCATTAACCTTAGATAATCCTTTAAATGCAGTTGTCTAATAAGAAATTACAAAATATAATAGACTTTTAGCTAAAATTCAAGATTCTTTAAGTGTACTTGTTTAAGGCTTAGATGGATTTATTAATATATCAGATTAATCTTTAGAAATATACAATTCTGTTTTTGATAATAAAATACCTGAATAATGGTTAGCATTATCTTATTTAACAACTAAATCCTTAGGTTCATTTGTAACAGATTTAAAATAAAGAATTGAATTTATTAATTAATGGATTATATAAGGATAACCTATAGTCTTTTGGTTGGGTGGATTATATTTTATATAAGGTTTTTTAACTGCAATATTATAATAATATTCAAGAAAATCTAAAATTCCTATTGATTAATTAAGATTTGATTTTAAATTTCATCAAGAGGCTCCTTTAGAAGTTGGAACTGAAATTTATGCAAATGGAATATCAATTGATGGAGCATCTTTTGATTTCTAAGAATTTACTTTAACAGAACCTTCAAGTAGCATTTTATTTTATCCATGTCCTATTATATAATTTTGTCCAACTTAAGAAATTGTTAAAACTTACAAGTATTATTCATGTCCACTTTATAATACTTCTTAAAGAAAAGGAGTATTAACATCAAATGGATTATCAGTGAATTTTATATGTAAAATTAAAGTACCAATTAATAATAATAAAGAACATTGGTCTAAAAGAGGAGTGGCTTTAATTATTTAAGCTAATTGAAGACTATAATTAATTATATACAATCATGATTAAATTTTTTTAAATCATACTTAAAGCAACATTAAATTATTCATAATTTTATATTATATTTCATGGTTAACCTGATTATTTTCTAAGATTAACACAAGTTTCGCCATCACAAAAAGGCACATTCTTTGTTAATTTACATCCACATAATTCCAAAAAATCTATATTTTATTCTAATGTAAAACGATATGGTTTAAAAGATGTTCCTTTATGAGATCCATCACATAATGGCTAATTTTATTTATTTCTTATACTTATTTTTAACTCAATCCACATGAACACCATCTATAGGTTTTATTTGAAACTTTTGGTTCCTCTATTTTTATTGGACCTAAGACAGGTGATGTTGGAATTGGTGTAAATTCTTCAACTTATGCTTTCTTATTTTCTTTATTCAACTTTATCACTTTTCCTGCCTCTTCTAAATCTTTTAATTAGCTAGAAAACCATCTTCTCATAAATATTCTTATCATTTTCTTTTTTATATTAATTTAATTCTTTAAATAATATATGAACAAAATTCTCTAAATATTAAAATCACATAATTTAGATACATTTTTCATATTATTCATATTTATATTTCAAATGAATCTTTTACAAAGCTCATAATTAATTATTCTATACTTCACTAATTATAAAAAGAATTACTTCATATGTAAAAATTTCATAATCAAATTCATCTAATAAGAGTTGATTCTAATCATTATTTTTTAATTGATANTTGATAATAAAATACCTGAATAATGGTTAGCATTATCTTATTTAACAACTAAATCCTTAGGTTCATTTGTAACAGATTTAAAATAAAGAATTGAATTTATTAATTAATGGATTATATAAGGATAACCTATAGTCTTTTGGTTGGGTGGATTATATTTTATATAAGGTTTTTTAACTGCAATATTATAATAATATTCAAGAAAATCTAAAATTCCTATTGATTAATTAAGATTTGATTTTAAATTTCATCAAGAGGCTCCTTTAGAAGTTGGAACTGAAATTTATGCAAATGGAATATCAATTGATGGAGCATCTTTTGATTTCTAAGAATTTACTTTAACAGAACCTTCAAGTAGCATTTTATTTTATCCATGTCCTATTATATAATTTTGTCCAACTTAAGAAATTGTTAAAACTTACAAGTATTATTCATGTCCACTTTATAATACTTCTTAAAGAAAAGGAGTATTAACATCAAATGGATTATCAGTGAATTTTATATGTAAAATTAAAGTACCAATTAATAATAATAAAGAACATTGGTCTAAAAGAGGAGTGGCTTTAATTATTTAAGCTAATTGAAGACTATAATTAATTATATACAATCATGATTAAATTTTTTTAAATCATACTTAAAGCAACATTAAATTATTCATAATTTTATATTATATTTCATGGTTAACCTGATTATTTTCTAAGATTAACACAAGTTTCGCCATCACAAAAAGGCACATTCTTTGTTAATTTACATCCACATAATTCCAAAAAATCTATATTTTATTCTAATGTAAAACGATATGGTTTAAAAGATGTTCCTTTATGAGATCCATCACATAATGGCTAATTTTATTTATTTCTTATACTTATTTTTAACTCAATCCACATGAACACCATCTATAGGTTTTATTTGAAACTTTTGGTTCCTCTATTTTTATTGGACCTAAGACAGGTGATGTTGGAATTGGTGTAAATTCTTCAACTTATGCTTTCTTATTTTCTTTATTCAACTTTATCACTTTTCCTGCCTCTTCTAAATCTTTTAATTAGCTAGAAAACCATCTTCTCATAAATATTCTTATCATTTTCTTTTTTATATTAATTTAATTCTTTAAATAATATATGAACAAAATTCTCTAAATATTAAAATCACATAATTTAGATACATTTTTCATATTATTCATATTTATATTTCAAATGAATCTTTTACAAAGCTCATAATTAATTATTCTATACTTCACTAATTATAAAAAGAATTACTTCATATGTAAAAATTTCATAATCAAATTCATCTAATAAGAGTTGATTCTAATCATTATTTTTTAATTGATATCATTCTATCAATAATAATATTCTATTCAATTATTTTATTATTTTTTATAAACTATATGATTGTTGTTTGCACTTATTTTAAAAAAAAGAGAGTAAAAGCATTATGAATCATTTAAATTTCAAATTTTTATTTTTTATAACTGAATACTGATTACAGAATTTTCCATAGATATCTGTTGTAAAAGTTTTAAATATTGTGATGAAAATTTAAAAATTTATAAAAAGTAAATAACTTTATTTTTCCATTTTCATTATGTAAAATATTAAAGGTTATTTTTATTCTTAATTACATATGATAATGGTGTCCTACTTTATAAACTAGTTATAGATTCAAAAATGAGCAACCATCTAACTTAGAAATTCTATTTTTATTAAGTTAATTAATTTAGATAAGTTCTTATTGATTTCATTAATTTTATTTTAATGTTTCAGCTATTGCTAAATATTGAAAAATTTACAAATCAAAACAATCATCATTTACTCCTCTAGATAAAAACTGTTAATTATATCAAATTTTGCTTATTTCATTATTTATCATAAACCTATTAGGATCTTCTTTTTATTTTATTGTTATTTATCAATTTTTGAATTACTTTTATAATTATTTTCCTCCTTTTTCTCTGGTTACTTTCTATCAGATTCTTCATTTTCTTCTTAAGATTATTTTTCTATGTTAATTTTATATTTATTCATTTCCCATTAATTATATAAACAATTTTATTAAATTTAGTATGAAACTTAGTAATAGAAAACAATTTTGATTATTATAAAAGTTTGAAATTAATAAAAATGTTTAGAATGTTAGGTTTTGTATATTTTATCTGAATGATATTATTGAATTAATAATTAGTATAAAGTAAATAATCATGTTAGCCCCAAGTTATATTCTTTCATTTTAAAAGAGGTGCATATAGATAAAATAATAATTATGCTTTAATTCTTTATTTTCTAAATGACTAATATGTTTTAATTTATTTAATTAATTAAAAT